GGACAGCATGCCCGTTAGTATAAAAATAGTGTGTATACCCATATTAGTCAGTCATTATTGTTTTGATATAATTTGGCCAATCCGTTTTGTGTAATAGGCTCAAGTCAAAAGAAAAAGACTCAGATTATTACTTACATAGCGTTTCATGTTAATTGATGATTTAGGTAAAGAAACAATTAGCTATAGTACAAAAATGATGTGTTAAACTATTGCAACCTTAAGTAATTAAACTAGAGTTTGCATATTCCTCTACGGTAGTTTCAGCTTTAATTGGGCCTATTACAGGCCAGGGTTCTCAAACCTGTTGAATTAACAAACGCTAGGAGATTGGGCTGGGCAAAAACAATTCAGGAAGCCCAATTGTCCTTTGAGTCGGTTAGCTGGAGGCCTGGGCAGTCTATTCAGGCCAAGGCTGTAAGAGACAAAAAATAACACAAATCTGGGCCTAGTGTCATAATAAGAAGCCCAAAGCTGGCCCAGTTTCAACATAAGCTGTATTTTCCCTCTTCTTGGGCCAAACTTCCAAGGCCCAAAACCGTTGGAAGCTAAAAATCCATTAAAATTACATTGGGAATATGGGGGATTAATTTGCAATATAAATTTAGGTTTTCGAGTTAGGTAGCGGGTTTAAATTAAGAGGGTCCTCCCTTTTGTTTGAATTTGGACTTGAACTCGAGGCCCGAATTTATAAATGCAAATTAATTAGGCCCTTTTTAGAGACAAAAAATAAATAGAAAATCGTAGTTTGCTTTAGGCTGGCCTTTAAATAAAAGTGAGATGAGCCTCGCCAAATAAAAATGCATAAGTTGCGGGGCCCTCATTGAATGCTTAACTAAAATACTTAGAATTCGGGGCGTGCCGTTTAGCGAATTTCATGGCCTCTCGCAAAGATAATAACTCGTTAACCGCTTAGGCGCGCTTTTAACAATTTTACCTTCCTAAATACGGGTGTGCATTTCATGCAACCCAAATCCAAATCCCAAAACGTTAAATAAGAATATGTCGAGGATCCGGGTGCATTTCATGTGACGCGATCCAAAACACGTTCTTAAACGACGTTCACTTTCTTAAATTTTTTAATTAAAAGCGGTAAATAATCTCTAAAATTGCACTATAGGATAACATGTATAAAAATCAGATTTGAGCCATTTATGATAATTTAAGCGACCGTGCTAGAACCACGGGATCCGAGGGTGCGTAACGCCTTCCCTCGGGTCAACAGAATTCCTTATTCAGAATTTCTGGTTCGTAGACTCCAATTGGGAAGTCAAAATTTTCCTCGATTTGGGATTCAAGTTAAACCGGTGACTTGGGACACCAAAAGCCAATCTTATCCCAAGTGGCGACTCTAAAAATTAAATAAATAATCCCATTTCGAATAATGTCACTTTAAATGGAAAAACTCCCTTATACATTATCCTTCGGGATATGTGTGTAAAAAAGGAGGTGTGACACCTGGCCTCCTCGATCCCCTCCAACTCTGCCACTTTCTCGATCAAATCACCACTCAGGCCGGCAACTCTGATCAAGCTCTGCTCAAGCTCGGCCCGCAGGGACATCACTTGCGCTTGAAGGTCGATACACTCAGCCACGACCCCCTTGCTCACCTCGAGTTCGTCTTCCTTGGCTCTAAGCGCCCCCTCGAGCTCACTGCATCTGCCGATGACCCGCACAAGCTCCTCGTCCTTCTGGTCCAACTCATATCTAAGGGACTGGAGGTTACCGCCTGCTTTGAACCGTGCACGCATCTCACGGTACTTGCCACGATACCTGCAATACTTCGAAACCATTTTCTAGAAAACAATCTTCTGCTTCTCTCTCGACGGGTGCTCTCGATCTCCAAATGAGAGTCCAAAAAAGAAGAAAAGAGAAGAGAAAGAAAAATCCGAAAAGAGTTAGTAAAGACAGAGAGGGGAGAATGGCGCAAGGTGCAAAAATAACGAGGAAGAAAACTCACCCTCAGAGCCATCCCAGATATGCCTAATGACAAATCGGCATCCTTAAGAGCTTGTAAAGTCCTGTTCTCGGCGGTAAAGCAAAAAGGGGCCAAAGAAGGGACCACGCTCGCCGTATCAGCCAACAAGTCGCAGTCCAAAGGGATGACAATCGAACGAGAAGATCCATCCGTTCTCACCTCAACCCGGGTAAACCCTTCATCAAATATTCTCTCTTCCCCGGGATCGATGTCGTAGCCGGATTCATAATCATCTACGCTCACTCCTTTCGCCCTCTCCTCGGTTGAGGAGGGAACGTCAGCCTGCTCCGACGTTGACAGATCACTCATCAGAATGACCGCAGTTGCCTCTGATTGCTGCCCTCCTTCCATGGATGCAATCTCCATATTTGACGGGGGCACAGTATCTACGTCCAAAGCCATATCGCCCCCCGAGTCGGCCATGGTTAACTCGGGATCATCCCCCGCGGGCCCCTCATTCTTGATCGCTTCACCGTCAACCTCTATTCTCCATCTTTTCAGCGGAGCCTTTTCCTCCTTGACCCGCGATGACTCATCCACCAAATTAAACACTAAAAAAGCCGAAATCTATGCTAGTGGGGCAGCACCTTGACGGCTAGGTCTACGTGAGCTCGGGGTCCGAGAAGGAACAATAGTTTGAACAGACTCTCCTGCAGCCGCGGCGAGTAGAGGCCCAGTTGAAGCACCTGACCGACGAAAAGCGGGAGTAAGATCCATCGCCCTCCTCGGAGCCCTCGGACCTACCAACAAAGATAGACGAGTAAAAAAAGGGAGATAGAAAAGACGGCATGAAGGTCAAAACGACTAAGATCGAAATGAAATAACTCACCGGTCGAAGGTTTGTGCCCAAACCTCTCATTGAACTGCGACCACTCACGGATCCCCACCGTGTGAGGTATAATTTGGCTCACCCAATCGCAATTGTCATCGACCATCGAAGGAGGATCCTTCTCGGCTACATGATAAAGAAGAAAAGGGGGAGAACGATTAGGCCGCCAAAAAGATACAACAAACAGCGAGTTGGGAGAAACACTTACGAGCAAAATTCCACGCCTCAAGAAACCCATTAAGGTTCGGCACTACGTGCTTCGTCCTTACGTAGAAGAAATTAACCCAAAAACAACGATTTGTCTTATCGTCCATCTTCACCACCAATCCCTTGGTCCCACGATGGCGAAGGTGTATCATCGTACCCTTGTGAAAACTTGGGGCGAAGAGGTAAAGCAGACGACGAAGAGAAATTCCACAGTTGGCTAGCTCCGCATACTTGATAAGCATAAGAAAAAACTTATAGATATAAGGGGAGAGCTGGGCCGGACAAACGCCATAATAGCGGCAGAAGTCCTCCGCTAAAGAAGGAAGAGGAAGCGTGTAGCCGACGACGAACGGATACGCATAATGCGCAGTATCCTAGGTGATGTATCTACACCACATCTTCACCAACCGGGATAAGGTCGACATGTTCTGGAATTCTCCATTTAGCCCTAAATTCAACAAGCGATGCCGCATCCATGTCAGAAACAACAGGCTCAGGATCATCTTCAGAAAGCTTCGAGAAGTCCGACCTGGTCCTCCCCGATCGAGGAACTATCTCATCAACAGTGGAAAAACTCTCGTCTTCTACAATAATGGCCATTCCTTCGTCATGAGAAGGCGTGTCCACAGTCAATGGGACAGGATCAGAAACTCCCTTTGGGTTAAATGATGCACTAGCCATTTTCTATCTCGTATGTGGGAAGAAATTGCAAGTGTGAAAGGAGTAATAATAGCAGGAAATGCTAGAGAAGGGAGAAACAAGGATGCAAGAATTTTGAGAAGAATAAGGGAAAACTTGAAAAATCAAATTCTTAAGAAATGCAGCAAGTCAAGTGGGGAGTTCCCATCCCTATTTATAATAATATTGGCACCCCAATCGAGAAGGCCAAGCGCCCACATTGTTTTCGAAACGGAAGGGGCACGGGAAACGACGTAATCGGGAACATGCGCCATAATGACGCATGATGAAATGATGTCATTACAAACTCACGTAATTGTCGTATGTGGATCTCGAAGCACCACGTCATTACCTCGCCCCAAGAACTTCATATACCCGACCTACACGCCTAGATTTCTCAAGTTGTAACTAGCGAAATCCGCCCATCGATCTCGTCCAAAAACAACCTCGACAGGCGGAGGGACTAACTGTATGGGTCAAAATCTAACTAAGGAAATCTGGCACGAGGTTAGATTACCAAAAGGCGATTAGGCCAAGGTCAAGAATTCTGGCCGGCCATAACAGCTAGTTTTGTAGTAAAATGTTTTAGGAAAATATTCCACCCAATATTCTCTGTACTTGTGTTTTAAGTTAGGTAAGGAATATGTCTCACATAATAGGAAGGGGAGAGAGAAGAAAGGGGGGATAATATTCTATATCATACGATCTCTCATGAAAAGTTGACTCTAAAGTAAATTACAAACATTGTCTTTCCACAAAGATTTGATTTGTTGTTCATCCCACACTTTCTCGCATCAGATCCGAGAAAGCTCCGTATATTCCCACAATTGTTTGTCTTACATCATTATCAGAGGAGAGAATCATCCACCTCATTCAATATTTGGGCGAATCATTCTCTCTATTTACATCTATTGTCATTTAGTACATTTATTGCTTATCATTGTTCCCCCATATACTTATAACTGTGCCATTTAATACCCGCTGTATTAAATCGGTTTAAATGCAATCCTACGTCATTTGTATAAACCGATTTCACATCTAGGAGTTATTATGTTTAACTAGAATTTATCTACTATCTTCTTATTTAATTAATTTAACAAAAATGCTTAATACTTTTTGGTCAAACAAGTACAAAGTCCATGAGTAAAGTATGTATTTTGCCTATTCAATAGATAAGTTCTAAAAATACTTTTGACATATACTAAAAATCTTTTGAATTTGATGTTGACTCCAACACTTGTCAGTCAAGCGAGAAATTAGGCAAACATCTCATATGAAAGTCAGTTCACTTTACTGTTAGCAAAATATTATTCAAAAAAGGCAACTCATAAATGTGAGTGCACTCATAAATGCAATTTCAGTACATTATTTCTTCCTTTTCTGCCCGAAGTAATTTTCCTTTTTTGGTCTAAATCTGTAAGCAATCGAAAGAAGGAAGGTAGTAACTTGGAGACGCAATTATTCAAACTACCATTTATAAATACATACATTTATTGGAGAAGTGAGCCTATGACGACTTTAATTAACTATAAATCTCTCTCACTCTGTGAAAAATTGCATACGGTGGTGGGAAAAAGGATCTGTTTAGAATCTGCGTGCTCGTCTTCTCCACCCCTTCATCACCTTCTACAGGTACGAATATATAGCAGTTCTGTATATTTTTGTCCGAATACCGATATTGACTCTGTTATATATGCTTTCCATTCACTATTATATACTTTCCTCGTCTTGATTCTTGAATTATTAAATCATTATATTCAAGTATGTATTTGATCTGATTATGTTATATTGGTTATATTGGCTATCTGGGAATTTCAGATTGCAGCCCAAGGTCTTGAAATAACATTTTGGATTTAATTTGGTTGGGTTGAAGTTGAATATATATTCGTTTACACTACCAAGAATCACTCAGGTAATTACTTTTATTGCTTTTGTTTCTGAGCTGGATTATGTGATTTTGTTCTAGTGTTTTGTTCTGAGCTGGATTAAGGAGTCGTTTGGTTTGAGGGGCAAATTATGCTAGGATTAGTTATATTGGATTAGTTATGTTGGATTAGTTATGCTGATGTTATTTCTTATTTACGATTTTGGTATGTATTAATCCTAGGATTGTCAATATTACTGTTTTATTCTTAGAATAAGTTATTCTAGATTAATCATCTACCCTCTGGCGGGTATAAGTTTTTCTGTTACTATTTTTCACCATAGGATTAATTTATCTCAGAATTAGTAACCAAACAAGAGATAAGGCGATACTAAATATTTATTCCCAGGATTATTTTTGCTTATTTATCGCACCAAGCTGCCCTTATTTTGGAGAAACATAAAAAAGAGATAGAACATCAAGAAGTTGGTGGCATATTAATTTGATCATTTATTCACCAGAAGTACCTTTCTTTGGCTGGCATCTTAAAGCCCACAGCTGTAAATTTTATTTCCGCCATTGAAGTCTACCAACCTAATTACCAGGATTCAAGTAAAAGATTTTGACTATTCCATCTAAATGTAGTAATCTAATTTAATTTTTCTTTTTGTAATCTAAATTTGTCCTTAAAACTTTGTATTTTAGTTAATATTCCATCTAAATGCTACACGTTATGTGCGACAGTGTGCGCATACTTTAATTCTTCCAAGTTTTGTTTTGTTTTTCCTAAGTAAACAAATTACCTTAAATTGTCTGTGTCAGCAATATTAACTAAATCGGGAATTGCATAACTTGTTTACAAAGAATTTTTCTAAATCAGTACCTTTTTTAAATGCTTAGAATGGCTAATAGTCTAATGTTGCAACATGTAGGACCCCCTCAATTACTGCAAGACAAAATGCAAAAAATTAGTCTTCCTCAGACAAGTATTTTTGCCTTTCCAATCAATATAACTCTCTCAAAAAAGTTACTACATGGTATCTAGCCTTACTCTCATTGTGTTCAAAATAATAAGCTGCGCACAGTTGGAGATATGTCTATTCCTTAATTCTTGTGTTTTGTCTTCATAATGTTGCAGATGGATATAGCAAAGGATTTAACAGCAGGGACTGTTGGTGGAGCAGCACAATTGATAGTTGGCCACCCTTTTGATACCATAAAAGTCAAGCTCCAAAGCCAGCCTTCCCCATTACCCGGGCAACCTCCAAAATATGCTGGTGCCATTGATGCAGTCAGGAAAACAGTGGCTTCTGAAGGTCCAAGGGGTTTATACAAAGGCATGGGAGCTCCACTTGCAACTGTAGCCGCCTTCAACGCTTTGCTTTTCACTGTTAGAGGTCAAACCGAGGCGCTGTTAAGGTCTGAACCTGGTGCCCCTCTTACTGTCAAGCAGCAAATCCTTTGTGGTGCTGTTGCTGGTACTGCTGCATCATTTCTTGCCTGTCCAACTGAACTTATCAAATGCAGGTTAGCTCTTTGTAGCATTAAAGTCAGAAATTATAATACTCCCTCTGTCCTAATCCATTTGGCACATTTTACTTATCAAGAGTTAATTTGATCGAAATTCAGAGATAAATTGTACTGGACTAATAAAGATATTTAGAAACTATACCTACTGAAGTTGCAATTCACCTCATATCAAAATGGTGAAATACGACATGTTAGGATGTTAGTCAAAGTTCACTAATCTAGGAAAAAGAAGAGTACCAAGTTTTATGAAGAGTATCATATCGTCAAATGTTTGTAACGTTTTCCCTCAGCTCCTATATTATCAACAGTCAAGTTGGCCGGTTGGATTAAGGCCTCATTGTTATGATTTTCTTTTCACCAAAGTGGCGTTTACATGTGTTTTGCAGTTGGACTCTTTAACTGTGTGCTTTGGTGGTCTAATGTCCAAACACAACTTGTAAAAACTATTTGTATCATTTCATGTGTTTTGCGGCTTCCTCTATGTAGCATTAGTGGTAAACCTGCTTATGTATTTAGCAAAATTGATTGCTGAATTCTCAAATTTTGAGTGCAGATTACAAGCCCATAGCGCGTTGGCAAGTGTAGGGTCAGCTTCTGTGGCCATAAAATATGCAGGGCCAATGGATGTTGCAAGACACGTTCTTCGTTCTGAAGGAGGTGTAAGGGGTCTCTTCAAAGGTCTATTCCCCACCCTGGCACGAGAAGTGCCGGGAAATGCTGTCATGTTTGGCGTATACGAAGCGTTAAAGCAGTACTTTGCAGGAGGCATGGATACTTCTGGACTGGGAAGGGGTTCACTTATAGTAGCTGGAGGCTTGGCTGGTGGTTCAGTCTGGTTCGCGGTGTATCCAACAGATGTTATTAAGAGTGTAATTCAGGTAGATGATTATAGAAACCCAAAATACTCTGGCTCTTTTGATGCTTTTCGGAAGATTTTGGCATCAGAAGGTGTCAAAGGCCTTTACAAGGGGTTTGGACCTGCTATAGCGCGTAGTGTCCCAGCAAATGCTGCTTGCTTCTTGGCATATGAGATGATTCGGTCTAGTTTGGGATAATCTGGGGACCGTTACACTTACTTCTTTAACTATATTTTTCCCAATTGGAAAAAATTAATACCATTTTTTGGGGACTAAGAAGAAAGAGATTTTTGTGAGCCAACTTTTGTTGTCATACAAATATATATATAAGAGGCATAGATTACCAAAATAGTTGCCAGTTTTTGTTATCTGCTCTGCTTTCATCTTCAGTGTTTATTGGTTTTTGACAATGTCAAGAATGACAAGATGATGGATTAAAAATTCAGGAGATTGTACATTTTATTCAGACATTCACAATGCCGTATCTTAACATTCCAAATAATTGAAGCATGATTCTTGGTTGAAGACTTAAAGATAGTCTAGTGCTCGAGTGTTCTTAGTGGGCGTTTGGACATAAGAATCGTATAATTTCAAAAAAAGTGAATTGTTTTTTAAGTGAAAATGGTATTTGAAAATTAGAGTTGTGTTTGGACATGAATGAAATTTTGGGTTGTTTTGAATTTTTGTGAGTGATCTGAGTGAATTTTGAAAAATAGCTTTTTGGAGTTTTCCAAATTTTCGAAAAATTTTAAAATTTATCTTCAAGTGAATACTGAAAAATTTTATGGCCAAACACTGATTTTAGTGTATCGGGCTGCTCTTTTTTTTTTTTTTTTTTTAATTTTTTTTTTCTTTTTCTATTTTGGCTTCAACTAGAGAGGTAAGGATGATGAAAGAGAAGGTATAGTCACAGTGATAAAAAAAAAAATAGGAGTGACTTATTGCAGATTGTCATTATTAAAAATATCATTCATCCCTTCTAGCTAGTCCGTCCATGCATTCCGAGCGAATGGCAGTAAAACACATTTATATCTTGCTTTCATGACATGTTTAGAACCAGTGGCATATGTGGTGGGATAATGTAAAGTTCAATTGAATCTATAATTTTTAACGCGGAGTAAAAATTTATATTGCAAAAATAGTAGATATGAACCTATAACTGAAAAAATACAATGGGTTCAATACTAAAAAACTTAAAAGTTAAACTCATAGAGTTCAAATTCTAAATCCGCCTCTTTTTTTTATTTGTGGTAATTAACTTAACTTTTTATTAATTACCACTTGTAAACCTTATAATACCATAGCCAAGCTCACACATCTCGCCATCCGTAGAAAAATACAATAAAAAGGAATGCAAATCAAACTATTTCATAAGCTACTACTTAGAATCTAAACTTGTCTAATAATATGCGAATTCTAGGAGTAGTTCGAACACAACAGCTATATGCAATCTCCTTTGCATTTTGATCACATCCTTTGCTCTTCTTTTCGAATATTCTTTGATTTCTCTCCATCCAGATTGCATAGACACTCTCAGCATACACCATCTTGAATATTTGAGCAGCCTTTGATTTGCCTTTGTCATTGTTGATGACCTAATCTAAGTGGTGTTCCCAGGTTCCTGCCTGCATGTGATCATGTTTTATCCATCTCATAAGCTCCTTCCATAATTATTTTGTACAATCACAGTGCACAAATAAGTGATCCCTCGACTCATTACAGTTTTGGCAAAGGATACAACACAAGTCTACTTGTAATCCCCATCTAAGCAATCGATCAGTTGTTAACAACTTCCCTTATAACTGCAGCCACATAATAAATTTTGCCTTTGGCCTTGCATCATTGTTGAATACTAAGAATTTCCATGGAACTCTAGTATAATCCCTAGCAGCACGCATAATTTGTCTCACCATCCAATAGGCCTGTGGTGGTACTTGAATGTCATTGAATTGTTGTCTCTTGATGTAGTATTCATGAATCCACTTCATCCACAGTCTGTCTTGTTTATGAGCTAAGTCCCAACAAGTTTTAATTATAGTTGCTTTATTTCATAGCTACATATTGGTTAAATTCAAACCACCTGCAGCTTTAGGTGTGCATACTCTCTCCCAAGCTATTAGAGCTTTTTTGGTTAGTTGATTATTGCCAGACCACAGGTAGCTCCTACAATAGGCATCAATGAGCTTAATCACTTTCATGGGCAAGGTGAAGAGCTGTGTCTTATATGCTTGTATGCCAAATAACACAGACTGAATTAACTAAGCTCTTCCAATATATGAGAGTCTTTTTGCTGTCCAGGAGGAGATTCTAAAAGTGATTTATTCCACTAAAGATTGCCATTAGATCAAGGAAAGCTTTTTAGTTGAAAATGGAATCCCAGATACTTAAATGGTAATTCTCCCTGCACAAATCCTAGTTGCTTCAAAATGACTGAACTTTTTCCTATGTTTGCCTACAACCTTGATGCATTTGAAAATTCCAAAAAAATATTGTTTTATAGCAGAGATTGATACCACATCACCTCTTGTGAATAGGAGCACGTCATTTGTAAAACTCAAATGAGTTACTCCTAGCTTAGCACATCTAGGATGAAATTTGAATTGCTTGTTTTCTTTTTTTGAAGAAGAAATTGCTTGTTTTCTTTAAGTACATTGAGGCTCCTGCTCAAGTATTCCATCGCAATGGCAAATAGGAATGCTATAGGATCTCCTTGCCTCAGCCCCCTAGCAGCATCAAAAGGCTCAATAGTTTCCCCATTTATCAAGATGGTATAATTGACTGTTTGCACACATTCCATAATACATGATATGAAACTTGATGGAAATTCCAATCCTTCTAGAACTTGCTTCAGGTAGACCCATTCCACAGAGCCATGAGCTTTCTGGAGATCTATTTTAATCATGCATCTTGGGGATATATGATTTCTAGTATAGCATTTCACCAATTCATGAGCTAAAATGATGTTGTCAACTATTCTCCTCCCTAGTATAAACTCAGCCTGCGCTTCACAAATGAGACCTGCAATTACCTTTTGGATTCTAGAAGCTAGAATCTTTAAGATTAATTTATTGAGGACAGAGCAACAGGCTATTGGTCGAAATTCCTTCACAGTGGTAGGGTTAGTAACTTTAGAGACTAAAGTTATAGTTCAACAATTTACCAGTGGTGAAGAACTCATTCACTGCATCTGTCACTTAATCTTTGACTATGCGCCAAGCCTTCTTAAAAAAGAAAGCATTATAACCATCAACTCCAGGTGCCTTATCATCACCAATAGAGCATAATCCAGCATATATTTCCTGATAAAAAATGTGGACATAGAGGTCTAGCTTCTGCTGATGAGTTAGCTTAGGACCCTTGCTCAGAATTCTCCTGTTAACTACTGGAAGAGTTTGATTGGCTGATCCCATCAAACCTTTATAAAAGCTTATAATCTCATTCTTAATGGCCTTAGGATCTGTCAATCTATTGCCTGCTAGAGAGGTTATCTCAAATATATTTTTCCTGCTGTTTCTCTCCTTAATAATTGCTAAGAAGTACTTAGTATTTGCGTCACCCAACTTTATCCAGGTTGCTCTTGATTTTTGCTTAAGAGCACTTTCCTCTAATAAAGATCATCTCTCCAGATTTTATGATGTGGTCTTCTCCAAGTCCAAGAGGTCATCTGTGTAGGAGGTGTATAGCTGATGTTGTATGGTAGATAACTCTTGTCGAGCCTTCTCAATCTTATTGCTAATGAACATGAATTTCTCATTATTCATCTTCTTCGACAATGATTTAAGTGCTTTTAACTTCATCTATATACTCCTCATTTTTCACTTTGCAAGTGGTTGATCCCATATGCTTTGCATAATAGCTAGAAAATCCCCATGATATGCCCATATATTAAAAAATTTAAAGCTACTTTACCATTCCGTTGAGCTGAGTGCAGAGATATTATCATAGGGGCATGATCAGAGATATTGGGAACATCATATTCTGTGAGTACATGTCCCCATTTCATCATCCGTTGGTAGTTTTCAAAGCATTTATCAATTTTACTACATATCCGGTCATCCCCTTGTTGCTTATTAGTCCATGTATAGTACTCACCTTTCCAAGACAATCCATTTAGTAACAGATCATGAACACAGTTGGAGAAGTCTTGGATTTCAGCTTGAGTAACAAAATTCCCCATTTGTCTGTTAGTTGGATACAAAACTACATTGAAGTCGCCAGCAATTAGCCATGGTACAGTTACCCCTTGTGAACCGGAAACAATAAAGTTTTTCTTTCTAAGCTATCCCATAAACCTTCATGTAAGCTATCCCATAAAACTTTTCTTTGTTCCATGACATTATAGCCATAGACTACAGTAAGGAGACAATTAATATCCCATGTCCTGTTCCGAACATGACAGTGAATAACCAACTCTTCCATTAACTACATGCTGGCAGTTTGTCAGTATTCCCTAGTTAGCCACTATGTTATGCATTACTCTAGAAACATTATGTTCTTTGACCCTCGTTTCAATAATACCAGCTAATTTTATATCTTTGCTCTTGATGTATTTCTCAATTCCTTTTGCTTGTACCTCTTGTTCACCCCTCTTACATTCCAAGACAGCCAATTGTTAAGTGCTCCATCTCTGTCTATAGGTAGGTTGATCTCATCACAGTTCCCTCTTTACAAAGCCTCAAAACCATTTCTAGTTTGTACAACAGATAGCACAGAAAAATTGCTAAGATTAAACTCAGGACTAGCTTCTGCTGGTTTGTCTCTGATGACCTGTACAGGACTAGCTGGGGACTTTCCTCTAACACTTTGTTGTTCCCTCCACTCATATGTTACAGCTGAAGTCTGTTGTTGATACTTCTGTTTCTGAGGACTCCTAGGATGTATCTCTTGGACTATGTTCTGCTTTTCTGTAGTCTCCTTAGTTGCATTCATCTTGATTGGGCCTTTGTATTGCCACTGTTGGACAACCTTCCCTTTTCTTGGCTGATTATTATAAATTCTCCTTGGTGGATGACATTTATGACCAACTAATTGACACCTCTCACAATATTCTGGCTTCCAATCATAGGTAACCAGTTGTTGGAATTGCCTCCTATTAGGATCCATCACAGTTATTTCTATAGGCAGAGTTCTGGCTATATCTACTTCAATAAGCATTCTGGCATATGAAATTCTAGTCTGCTTATTTGAGAACTCATCAGGAAAAAATAAGGGTGCCAATAACACTTGCTATTCGACTCAGATAATTACTACCCCAATTCATCGGCAATTTTGGAAATTTAACCCCAAGAGGAATCTCAGTTGGTAATTCTTTACTGAAATTAAAATATGGGGTCCATGGCTTTATGATAATAGGTTTGTTATTGATTGAGTAAGGTCCTGCATAATAAATTTCATCCCTATCTGCAATAGACCGAAATTTAATGACATAGTAACCTTTTTCATGTAGAAACAGGTCTAGCTCATCAATG